CAAGCTCTCCGAATGCTAGCAGGTCCCTTCCCCACTGCATTCCCAGCCTGGCCTCTCCACCAGATGGGGGCGGGGCTGCAGACAGCACTGTGTTCCCGTGGACACCACTCCCCAGCCAGACAAGGGTGCCCTTGGCCTGTCCCTCCAAGCTCTGGTGTCCAAATCCTTGGGAGGGACCAGGTCAGCCTTGGTGGGGGCGGCATCACTAGGACTAGGCCAGCCAGGGTCACGTGTGACTCCCAAGGCCACAACAGGAGGGGCAGGGAGAGGGAGGAAGCAGGGGCTGAGGTCCTCTCGCCCTGCCCCCGAACACAGCCGAGCGCTCGGTGCCCTGAAGCTCACAGCCCACGGAGAGCCGCACAGCCCTGCGGTCAAGAGGACGGACACGAGCAAGACTTCCTGTGTCCGACTCAGACCCCCACCCTGACGGCCCTGTGATGCGGGAAGTTTCGACCTCTTGGTCCCCACTTCCCTCTTCTGCGGGCGCAGGTCAGCAGCGCTAGGACCGAGCGGGTTACAGCGGCCAGGCCAGCACCGCACAAGGGCTGCGTTGTGCTTCTAAGCTGCCTTCTTAAAATGTTCCAAAGACTGGCTGTTAGTGAGAATGGAAACGTGGGGCTTAAAGGGGCACAGCCTGTCCTCACTAGAGGCCTGGTCTCCCTCAGGTGCCCAAGAGCAGGTGTGTGCGGCCCCTGCGGCCCCAGCTGACCGTGCGGCCACCCCCGGGGCCCAGACTGAGTCCCAGGGGCCGGCTGGTCAAGCGGACTCTTGGTGCCGCGGGCTGCTAGGAGGGCAAGGCCGGCCCCGGGAGCCCACCGGAGGGTCAGGGATCCAGGAAGGGAGGAGGCTCTGGGGTCCAGACGGGGTCCTTCCCCCAACCACGCCTCGAAAGCAAAAGCGAAGCAGGGAGAATGCCAACGTCCCTCAGGGCAGGAGGGAGGAGGCTCCCTGGCGGCAAAGCCTTCTTTCCAGACGCGGCGCCTCCTGCAGCGTCACTATCCCAGGGCCGGCGCCTCCCAGCCTGACCCAGATGGAGCCTTCTGGAAGGAGGTTCAACTCAACTAAACCGGTGCACTTCCAGGCGTGCGGTGTTGTCTTCTTTGAAGCTCACCCTGACCAAGGGCACAAACCCAGACGGAGCCACAGCCCCCGCTCTGGCCCCAGGGACCCAGAAGCTCCACGTGGTCACTAGGTTAGATCTGAGCTCAACTGGAGAACCCAGCTGAGGAACAGCTGAGGCCTCACTGATCCCGTCCCCACCTGCCAAGGTGCCAGGGCACGGCTGGAGGCACGGCCCCGTGAGGGGACAGCAGGCTGGAGGTGACACCAAAGCCGTAAACCTGGGATGCTCGCTGAACCCAGGGAAAGGAACATTTTGTTTGGCCCTAAGTTGGCGTCCATTTTTCAAAGTCTCCACATACAAATGCCTGTTTCCACACCGACCGGCGCTGAGGCTGCCCCACGTGCACATGCGGTCTCCCCCCTGGCTTCCGCCTCTGGCCCTGGCACCGAAGGTCAGGGCTGTCTCTCACTGCGCTTAAGCTCTCCGTCTCCATCTGGACCCAGGGCAGTGCCGCCCTTGCTGCCCAGCTGCCAGCCCGCCTCATGTGTCTGCACCCACACCACTGCCCCCCGCCCAGCACTGCCCCACCACCCACCTCGGCCCAGGCCCGACGTGGCACCGGTAATGACCACCACGGCGTTCCGGACGTAGGCTCTCGTGCGCAGCCACTGCAGCAGCTTGCAGAGGCTGAAGACGCCCACGCAGCCCAACAGCAGGGGCAGGGTGGCCGTGGAGGTGATGAAGTCCATGACCCTCGCTCTCAGCAGACTCTTTCTGGAAGAACAAACCAGATAAATCAGTGACGAGGTGGGAGGACGCCAGGGACTCACCAACCCTCCTCCCCCAAGTCTGACACAGAGCCCAGATCTCTCGCGTGGACCTCAGCTCTGAGCCCGTCAGTGTCTCCCCAGGCAGGCCCTGCGCCCCATGTGGACCTTCCAGCCTGGTGGAATCAGTCTCCTCTCTGCACGGACGCGAGCGGGCGGCGGGGCGCAGACACGCGTCGTCCAGGCAGGCTGAGGACCAGCTCCTGAAGTGTGAAGGAGGCCCCAATTCTCCTGCACAAATCTGTTTTGAGGAACTTAATACCACCCGGTATCATTTTCAATTCCTGATATTCGTGAAACTAGGAAAGTTCTTCTAAACACTTTTCTTAAAAGGAAAACGGAGCCGTACCGATCGATCTTACACTGCTCCCTGGACAGGCTCCTCCACGGCCACAGGCCTCTGGATGCCTGGGTGACTCACAGCAGGGCAGGCAGTCCTCTGCCAAGTGCGTGCAGACTCAGGCCGCAGAGTGGAGGCCCCGCTGCACTGTGGCCTGTGCCCACCGAGTGCCATTGGCGAGCTGCGTCAGCCAGACCAATCAGGAGCCCACGGCAGCGTGGTGAGCGCTACCATGCGGGGTCCACGCTTAGGAAACATCTGTTCCTTCTACGACTGCCCCTCCCTTCCTCATTCCCACCCTCCACGGCCCTGGGCCCAGAGCAGCAGCCAAGAGGGGAGACACGGGGCTACAGGGACGCTGAGGAGGAGCTACGGCGGAGCAGCACGCATGCCGCCTCGGGATGCCCCCGGGCCCCCAGGACGATGATGTGAGAAGCACGGCAGCTTCCGGCGGAGGAAGGGACTGCGACGTAAGCGCACAGCGCCTGCGAACAAGCCTGTAGCCTTCAATCATTCATCACTGCGGTGACCGAGTAGAGCCCTTGCCCACCTCCCAAGCCCTCAACTCCGCATATTTAAAAACATATCTCTGCTCCCTTCCCAAGACAGCACCCACCCTGTGGACACCATGAAGCCAAGAACACACCGATCGCAGCACGCATCCGCCTGCACCCTGAGCTGCTTTGACTCTGAATTCCAGGTTTGTGAGGGGCCGTCCCCATCTAAGCTCAAAGGTTCTGCTCCGGTTTGAACTGTCAACTAAGCTAGTTTAGTATTTAACTTAACTTTTCACCTCCCTTTCCAAACACACCCAAATTCTTGATCACTATAAAAAATTAACATCCTTGGATGAACATCTGCAAAAATGACTCTTTCCTATCAACCTCCACTTAATCTACTTCTGAAAGACGCCGGCTACTGTCTGCTAAGTGGACACATTTCCCCCTTACCCTACACTGTGCCAAACCCACACGTGGATGCCCTGGCAATCCAAGTGGATTCTGAAGTGCCGAGCTCTTTACCCGGGTACCACTGGCACCAACCCTTGCCCTCAACTGGACGTTCAGGCAGGGCCGAGTCCCAGGGGAGAGGTGAGGACCCAAAGATCCTTTGTTTGGGGGCTTCCCTGGTGGCCCAGTGGTTAAGAGTCTGCCTTCCAAAGCAGGGGACGCGAGTTCGATCCCTGGTCAGGGAACTAAGATCCCACATGCCGTGGGGCAACTAAGCCTGCGCTCTAGAGCCCATGCACCACAACTAGAGAGCCCGTGTGCCACGACTACTGAGCCCACGCACCCTGAAGCCTGTGCACTACAACTAGAGAGAAGCCCACGTGCCGCAAGAAGATCCCGCATGCCGCATCTAAGACCCGACGCAGCCAAATTAATTAATTGATTAATTAAAAAAACAAAAACAAAAACAAAGATCCTTTGTTTGGCACCTGGTAGTACTCAGAGAGGCTTAGAGCAGGCAGGAGCACCTCCGCCATTCCGTGGGTCTGTGGGTGCTGCCTGGGGGCCTTCACAGGGCACAGCCCCTGAAGACGGCAGGCTGTGGGGTGCATTTCAGCCCAGCAGGACGGCTATGCGAGAAGAGCTTTATCCCCAGGGCAATCCCAGATCCTTATACCACGTAGGTCCCAAGGTGGACCACCCTGCTCGGCTCAAATTACCTGGGGCCCAGACAATGCCCAGGAAGCCCAGGCAGGTGGGGACACTGCTCAGGAAAAGACAACCAACCGGCTCAGCCTCTGGGTCTGTGGGTGGACACAGGCCCATGGAGATCACAGCCCTGTGGAGTCTGCCTGTCTCAGACCCATAACCTGGGGCTAAGTCAGAACTTCACTGAAGGCTACAAGGGATCAAGCACCAATACGCAGCCCTATTGCCTCTAAAAATTCAGAGGTTTCAGAGACCACCTGGAAAACACCAACTAATGGCAATGGCAGCACAGGGGTGGCAAAGATGAGCCCTCGCCTCCTGGCCAGGTTCACATCCTGGCTCAGCTACTCACCAGCCTGGGTCAAGGCCACACCGCTGAGGCCTCGGCACCTCTGTCTGTAAAACAGGTTCGTTGGACTTCCCTGGTGGCGCAGTGGTTAAGAACCTGCCTGCCAGTGCAGGGGACACGGGTTCGAGCCCAGGTCTGGGAAGATCCCACATGCTGCAGAACAACTAAGCCCATGCGCCACAAATACTGACCCTGCGCTCTAGAGCCTGCGAGCCACAACTACTGAGCCCGCGTGCCTAGAGACTGTGCTCCGCAACGAGAAGCCACCGCAATGAGAAGAAGCCCGTGCACTGCAACGAAGAGCAGCCCCCGCTCACTGCGACCAGAGAATGCCTGCTCACAGCAACGAAGACCCAACACAATCAAAAATAAATTAAAACAAAAACCAAAAAAAAAACAGGTTTGTTGTGGTCTGATGAATTAACACATAGAAGTGTGTGTGCAGTCCCTGGCTCAGGGTAAGAGCTCAGTAAACACGGCTGGCACCAGCATCATCGTGACCCATCACTAACTGAGAGCCAGCAATCGGATTTCCAAGGTTGTCTGAAAGGGGCCCTGGTTTATGACATAAAGCAAACTCATTAAACATATAGTTCACTGTAATTTAATTTTTATGGCTTCATAAACCCTCCGGTTTAATTAAATGAACAACTAGGAAGAAAGAGACCCAACTTTGTCAGGAATCAGAATCCCATATCCCAAGTTTTGTAACAGAAGATGTGGCCGAACATGGGAATTCCCTGATGGTCCAGTGGTTAGGACTCCGTGCTCTCAGTGCCAAGGGCCCAGGTTCGATCCCTAGTTGGGAAACTAAAATCCCACAAGCCGCACGGCATGGCCAAGAAAAAGAAAGAAAGAAAGAAAAGGAAATGTGGCCGAAGAAAACCTAAAGTCAGCAGAAAGAAGGAGATAATAAAGATCAGAGAGGAAATAAATAAAATAGAGATTTAAAAAAATAGAAAAAAAAAATCAATAAAACCCAGAGCTGGTTCTTTGAAAGGGTAAACAAAAATTAACACACCAATGGCTGGCCTCCCTAAGAAGGAAAGAGAGAAGACCCAAATAAACAAAATACGAAATGAAAGACGAGAAATCACAGCTGATACCACAGAGATACAAAAAACCATGAAAGAATGCTATGAACAATTATATGCCAATGAATTGGACAACCTAGAAGAAATGGACAACTTTCTAGAAACATACAGCCCACCAAAACTGAATCAAGAAGAAACAGATAACTTGAACAGACCGATCGCTAGAAGTGAAATAAAATCTGTAAAAACAAATGAACAAACAAAACTCCCTACAAACAAAGTCCAGGGCCAGATGGCTTCACAGGCGAATTCTACCAAACATACACGGCAGAACTTACACTGATCCTACTCAAACTCTTCTAAAAGACTGAAGAGGAAAAAACACTCCCAAAGACATTCTATAAAGCCACAAGCACCCTGATACCAAAACCAGAGAAAGATACTATCAAAAAAGAAAATTATAGGCCAATATCTTTGATGAATATAGATGCAAAAATCCTCAACAAGATATTAGCAAATCGGGGCTTCTCTGGTGGCGCAGTGGTTGACAGTCCGCCTGCCAATGCAGGGGATATGGGTTCGTGCCCCGGTCCGGGAAGATCCCATGTGCCGCGGAGCGGCTGGGCCCGTAAGCCATGGCCGCTGAGCCTGCGCGTCCAGAGCCTGTGCTCCACGATGGGAGAGGCCACGACAGTGAGAGGCCCGCGAACCGCAAATAAATAAATAAATAAATAAATAAATAAATAAATAATAAATAAATAAATAAATAAATAAATAACAAGGTCCCACTGTATGGCACAGGGAACTACATTCAATATCCTTTGATAAACCATAATGGAAAAGAATATGAAAAACAATACGTGTATCTCTAACTGAGTCACTTTGCTGTACAGCAGAAGTTAACACAACATTGTAAACCAACTACAATTCAATAAACTTAAAAAAAATAAAAAAGAAACAAACAAAATGCGGCCAACACAACAGTCATGGAGGCCAACACAGCAAAGAGGGAGCAGACAAGGGCCACAATGTCCTGTCCACCCCTTTCTCATACCCGGGGGAGGAACAGGATGAAGATAAACCCACCCAGCAAGGCGTCCCACTGAGACAACCACAGCTCCGGGCACCTGTTCAAAGCCCAAGCCGGCAACCCTTGACCTGAAGAAAAGAGAGAAACCACACACCGTCTTGTACATGTCTGGTATTCCTTGAGCACCTGACCCAACATCGCAAGCCAGCCTTGGTCTCCTGGCCCCAGGGACCACTCTGCCTGAGGCAAATATGGCACCAGGTTAAGGGGGTCCATCCTCAGCCCACTTTCTGTAAGGAGAGTGCATCTGCATTCAGTCTGGCAAGTTCTCACAGAATCAGAACATAAACTATAAACCAGTGCAGCTGTGCCCAGCAACTCAGGATGATGGTGGGAATAGACACCCCAGAGCAAGCCACTAATTTTAGAGTCAGGTCCAACTTCAGCATAACTGCCCTGGCCAGGTGACGCTGCTAATATGGACAATCTCAACTCCTCCTGGGAGTTTTTCAAGGTCCAACTTCAGCATAACTGCCCT